TGACAACACAGTTTTCCATATCTGCAAAGATCTCGTTCATCATGCTCTGGAAGGTCGCCGGTGAATTGGTCAACCCAAAGAACATAACAAGGGGTTCCAAAGATCCTCGGTGGCACGTGAACGCGGCTTTCCAAGCATCTTCTTCTTTGATTCGTACATTATTGTACCCCCATCTGAGATCCATCTTTGTTAGGATCTTAGCGCCAGCCAATTTGTCTACTAGCTGACTAATCAAAGGCAGCGGATACGCATTTTTAACTGTGTGCTCATTCACGTAACGATAGTCCATAATCATGCGCTTCTTACCATCCTTTTTAGGAATGAAGAACACCGGGGACGTCATAGGACTTTTGGAAGGTCTGATGTAACCCTTCCTAAGTTGTTCGTCTATGAAACTAGATACCTCATCTCTTTCTGGAGCAGAGAGCGGTATCATATGTCCTTTCCTTGGTTTGAAAGTGTCCTTCAAATCTATAGCATGGTCCCAAGGCTTAGCCTCTGGGAAGCGCTCTGATTTGTGTTTAGAAAAGACTTTCCAGAAGTCATGGTACTCGGGAGGCACCAGCCTCTTAATCTCTTCCTCAGGTTTTACCTCATCATCGTCATCGTCGATCTTTTCTAAAGATCTGAGCTCGTAAATGTGACTAGCGTTTAACTTTTCAAGACGCTCATTGTGACGGACATGATTTGGTTTACCCAGGTTTACACATTCCTGAGGGCAACGTGACAATGTGACAACCCCTGTCTGCCAGTTGATCTCAGGATTATGTTTAAATAGCCAGGTCCAGCCTAATATTAAATTAATCTTCCCTAGTTGGGTAGCTTCGGCAGTGACTCGTTCTCTGTGTCCTTGGTATTCAACCACAAAAGAACATTTGTGCGTGATACAGCCACCCGCGTTAAGCGTACCGTCAACATTGTAGACGGGAATAGATACATCTAATTTTACAAGGGGGAGTCCAATTTGCTCCGCCCAGACCTGATCTATGAAGATCCCGTTAGCGCCTGAATCAAGCAGTGCGCTCGTTGGGTGTACTTTGCCCCGGGCAAGGTTTTCCACGCCAACGTCTAAACAGATCTCCTTTTGGAATAAATATGTGCGCATCAACACACATCTTGGGATTTCGGGAAAGGGTGGCTCCGAAGAAGAGGAGGAAACGTCGAATGATACATGTTTTTCTATTTTATTTTTACCAGAATCAAGCACCCTAGTTTTTGTCTCGCCGGGGCCACGCTCTGAAGGAGACGCTGGTGCAGCGGTAGTATCATAAATATTACAGTCACAATGCTTCATACAAGTACATACTTCAGATATTAGATTTAGAAATTTATTTACAAATTGGGGAGCCATCCCCGTCATTCCTTTATTGCTCATGCAACACCCCGGAGCAGGGGCCACTTTGTTGTGGTTTACTTCATTTTTAACAGGAGCTAAGGCACCCAAGTGACCTAAGCTCCGAATGCTTTTCCCTGAGCCTTCATTTCATTGACCTGTTGGTCATAAAAGAAGCCCCGGATTTCGTCGTACGAACGACCGGCCAAAGAGTTGAGCCGATCGTCCGGTTTTTCGGATTCTAGTTGGCGCGCCTGGCGCCCTTGGTTATTTTTTTGATGGGCGGCCTGCGCCCCGTTTCTGCAGTCTCAGGACATGTGTCCCTCCTGGCCGCAGTTGTAACAGTTGCCCTTGAATCTGCGCATCTGTCCGCCTTGGACCGCGCCGATATCCATAGGAGCACCCTGTCCTGGCTGCAGCCCGAACGGCTTGAACCCGTGAGAGTGATTATGTTGGTTTGATGACCCAGGGCACCTCTGGGATGTGTTGTTTTGTTTGGTGGACCCGCCACCCTGGTGCATTGTGTAGAGCTCTATGGCTCTACCGACTCGTCGTACTTCCTCAGCCGCCAGGGCCAAGTTGTCGCTCTGTGTATCCTGCAGATAGATCTGTTCTGCAATGCAAGGATTCACATTGCGTTCCAGCAGTTTTACTGCATGTTTATTGCCAAGACCCCCTTGGATTGAGAGGGCCAGGAACCGGGTTACGAAATCATCCGTCCTCATGTTTCCTTGTTTGAAGGAACGGATTTGCTGACGCGCCCAGTCATGCTCAGCTTGCGGTTTAAAATATTTTTTGATCTCTATCTTGAGATCGTCCCAGGTGGGCCACACTCCCGCAGTGTAGCACTCCTGTAATTGTACTTGGGCGTATCGACCCGCCACAGGTCCTTTTAGGCGAGATAGCACCACAGTGGCTACCTCAAAATCGTCGGCAAACGCATCCCAGTTTGCCTTGACCCAAATTTGGAGTTTGATCCACCATTCGGCGAATCGCGCTCTGTCTCCTTCGAAGGCGCCGGGGTCAGCGATGACTTCAACCTTTTTGTTGAACTTTTTCTCTACCGAGGGGGTTGCTACAGGGGGGTTTGCCTGTATCTCGGCGAGTTGCGAGGTTAATGCTGCAATCTGCGTGCGCATGGCGTGCAGCAGAGCATTCATATCTTGGAGTTGTGACGACATGTCGACTTGTTCTCTTTGGTAATGTAAAAAAAAGGTAACTGGGGGTCCCCGCTTGCTATCTGCGGATCAACCTCTTCCCAGCTGAGTATCGGATCTCAATCTCCGACTACCCACACTATAGTATTTGAAAAGGTATATAAAATGTATTTGTAATAAACCCTGGTCCGAACGGTTGTCAGGGGGTGGTCCGCTTGTTAAGCTGTCAACCCTTCTCCAGACTGGCGGAGGCAAGTGCCCGGCCTCGTCAGAGGTATTCGAAGGTGAAGATTTGTATGTAAATTCTAATCAACAGCGGTTCCACATCGACTGCTGAGCTATGGTACTCCCCTTAACGCTGGGGGCCGCGTATCAAAGGTTTTGGGTTCTTCTCCCAAAGCACTACAAAGCCGTTGCTAGGAGCACACCTATCTGCTATACGGGATATTCCTAACCGCTGTCGATGATGAGAACTGCTGTTAGAAAACCACACACAAAACAAACTAACACACAATCCTCCCAGATTCCACGGAACTTGTTTATGGGCTTTGCCTCCTAGAACAGTGGAGTGGTCTGGTTGTTCGTGGGGTGGTACGTATAAAGATCCTTCAAAGTAAAACCCAGAGGTGTATGAGTGTGGGTTTTGAGGAGGAGGGATAGTTGAATTTATAGAAGGATAGGGGCTTGGTGGCGAGTATAGATGAGCACTACCTTGCTAATTGTAGCACAAGGTAGGTTTGAGAACGACAAGATGACGAGGTTCCCAGTGATAGCAGGCTCCTGACGCACAAACTGTAGTGCTCAGAAGGACTCTAATCGAAGGGGATGACAATCACTTTCAAAAAGTGACGAGTGACGATGACAGCAGTTAACAGTGGTAGAAGTGGGAAGTGTTGTGACCACACTGGATCACAATTAGTAGAGTAGTGAACTTGAGAGTAGAGAAGAAGTCTGGATTGGATTTCTTGTTGTTGTTTTTTTTTTTACAAGGTAAAATACAGGGGTTTATATAGTAAAAGAAAAGTAGGCTATGCACAGTATAGCTGTGCAAAAAGAATGAGAAAGAATATGAAGGAAGGAATGTACGCTGACAAATCCTGCGTAGGTAGTACAGGATAAGATTGTCAAAAAAAGGAAAAGAAAGGGATAGAACAATAAATGCTGTGAGTAATGTCACAGGTTTGTACAGCCATAAAGTAAAGTCCAATAGCAAAAAGAGAGCAGGAAAATCATGATGTCATGGGAAGATGCAGTAAAAAAAGGGCAAGGCAAAACACTATCAGTATCAACACAGTTCCTTTATTGTCAGTCAGGCATTCTAAAAAAATATGTGTCCATAAAAATGATTCAAAAATCAAAAATAATCGCACTGTAAATGAATGTTCTGCTGAAGAAAAAGAAACTGGAGCCACCGGTCCACCACCTAGTCCAAATCTGACAGTTCCATGGCCTTACCAATGGACTGGTTGTGTTGGACCACCTGATCAAACGAGGGAGGGAGAGGAGTAGTTCCAATTTGGAACAAGTGAGTCCCAGGCAGCGTGTGGTAGGTGTAGCTGTAGTGAAGACGATGGACAAATGATAAGTGTACCCAAGTGAATGGGACAGCGATGAACATGGGCGACGCAAGGGGATGAACCTTCTCCAGCTCAAAAATTACCCACCCATGCTCCAACCAGGCAAGACGAGCGACCGATGTTTTGATAGTATATGATGGCAGATCGACGTCATGAAGATGGACCTGTTGCCCTATTTGGACCGGCCGCAGGGGCTTTGCTGATATCAGCAGTGGCACGTGGTAGTCAACGGATCGGCGACGGAAGCGGATAGGAAGTGGTGACATCAGAAATGGTGGGGGAGCAAAGAAGATGAGGAGGAGAAGGGTGGAGGTGACGAGGAGGTGAACTAAAATGGGGACCCAGAAACGACCGTCGGGTGAGAATAAAAAGGAGAGGAAGGGGCCCATGGTGGCGCTAGGCAAAGGAAGGGGAGTAAGGGAAACAACAAAAGCGAGGGCGCAATGCAATGTGTAGCCAGTGGCGACGCGAAAATTTGCCGAAATGCCGAAACGCGGAAAGTACCGGATGGAAAAGCAAAGGTGAGCGTGACTGGATTGCCTAATAGAGGTGGTGCTGATCAGCCACAAGTTCAAAAAGGGCAATATTAATTACTATTCCACGTGGCACTGTGCCTGTGTGGCGCAAAGGCGAGTCTTTTTGAATATTTGCTTTGTTATTGACACCTGTCCATGCTACCAATCAACTTTGGTGTATGACATCCACGGACAACTTGAAATTGCAACTGTCCCCAGTTGCTTCCATAAAGGTAGGGTCATAGGGAATGAAACATGGCAACACATTAAAGGGTCATGTCAGCATAAAATTCGTTCAGGTAAGTCATTAATTGTTATCTTCATCATCTGAGTCGTTATGCTCATAGTCAGGTTCATCTTCTGGTTCATCTAGGTCGTTATCATGGTCATCCAGTTCGTCCAAGAGGGGCATAGAGTGGCGGTTGAAATAGGGAAGTAGGCGAAATGCTGCAATTCCTCTTCGTGATACTGATCCATCCATTTCTTTTAGAACATATGATCCTCCTTTAGTACGTCGCACAACTTCATAAGGGCCATTGTAACGAGGCTTTGCTTTACGATCCAGCTCTTTCTCAACCTGAGTATTCCGCACTAGAACAAGCTCTCCAGGCTGGTATTCATTCTTGAACATCCTTCGTGCATAGAGTTTCTCAAACTGCGCTTTAGATCTGAGACGAGTTTTGCGTATAGTGAGTGCAGCTTGTTGCAAATCATTCTGTCTCTTTTCTAGTTGACGAATGCGCAGAGAAATGAGGTCTTCTGTTGACATTGCAGTGTGGAATCCATGAACAAGGAAAGTCGCTTCTGTCAGATCAAATGGTAGGACTGGGTCAACTCCGTGCAACAGATAAAAAGGGCTGAATCCAGTAGAACGACGAGTAGTGACCTTGTCTGCAAAGAAGGCATGATGGACCTTGGTTGGCCATAAATCGACATTCCCTTCACAGGACTTGACAAGTGCTTCTCTTATGACGAAGTGTCCACGCTCAACAACACCATTTGCCTTGGAATTGTAGGGAGAAATGCGAATATGAGGGATCTGGTAACGTTCCACAAGCTCTTCAAATGCTCCTTTGACTTCGCTTCTATTATCTGTGACAACTTCTCCTATAGCTCCATAGCGACAGATGATTTCTTCCCAGAACAAGCGAGCAAGATTATGTGCAGATGCTTTCTTCAATGCTCTTCCTTCTGCAGCAAGTGACAGATCATCTCTTGCAGCAACAAGATATCGATATCCTCTGGCCTTGGGCATGAGCATAATGTCGACATAGACTTTGGTGAAGATTGTAGGAGGTGATGAGATGGTAAGTGGGACTTCACTTTTGCGTACACTTCGAATCTGGCATTCATGGCAGGTGCGAATATGATGCTTGACATCCTGTAACATATGGGGCCAGTAAAAGCGCTCTCTGACTGTAGAGAATACACCATTGACTCCTCTGTGACCAAGCCTTTCATGTGCTTCAGTAAGGATGTGAAGTCGAAGGTCAGGATTGAAGATGACTTTGAGAGGAGGAGCAGAGTGACGACGCTTGAACATGCTGTCTCCTTTCAAGAAGAATTGAAGTGATCGCTTGACAAAACACTTTTGAGCTTGAAGAGAGGAAAATATAGGCAGCTCCATAGTTTGAAGAAAGTGGAAGATTCGACGAAGAGTATCATACTGAGAAGAATCATTGGTAAGGAACGAAGGGAGTGACATAGGGTGATATGGGAGAGGTCTGGCAAGATCAACAAGAAGAGCGATATCATCAAGCCAATCATCTGATTCTTGAGCATCTTCAAAGTCTTCCTCTGTTGGTTGACGACAAGATAATGCATCAGGACCACGATGATGATCAGCAGGTATGTGAATGAGCTTGAAATCAAAGAGAAGGATGCCCTGAATCCAACGATTGATAGTGGCATTAGGCTGAAGATCTGGATCGTTGAGCATGCCTTTGATATACTTGGCATCCACCTCCACATGCAAGTGTTTTACTCCTGCAATGTAAAGGCGAAAATGACGAAGTGCTCTGAACAAACCATATAATTCTAGTTTGGGCTGACTGTAATTTGCCTCTCTATCATTCATGGGAATAGAGCCATAGCGAGCTGGACGCTTCCTTCCATTTTCATCAAGCTGGGAGAGGATAAAACCAACAGCAATCTTGCTGGTATCAACTGAAAGAACGACTGGGTTGTGTGACGGATAATTTATAGGGTGAAGTGCTGGTGCAGAAGATACTGCATGCTTCAGAGCATCAAATGCTTCTTGTCTGCGTTCATCCCATTGAAATTCAGCTCCTTTGCGATACAATTCTGTCAAGGGGCGTGCAAGAGCAGATTAATTGCGGATCCAAATGCGAACTGTGCCACATAGACCAAGAAAACTGCGAACATCTTTGGGAGTCTGGAGAATTGGCCATTTAAGAATCTTGTCCACCTTGGTACTGTCAGGGAGACGACCTTCTGGGCAGCATACTTGTCCGACAATCACAACTTGAGGACAACATAACTGAGTCTTCTTTCCAGAGAAAGTTCCGCCAGCATGACCAACTCTATGCATAATGCGATGAACGTCAATGGCATGTTCCCATATAAATCTACGAATGCCAGGGTTGCCAGGAATGGTCTCTGGGTTGCCATCTGCATCTTCATAACGAGAAGTAGGTCCTTTGATTGGGAGGTCATCAACAAAGATATTGGCAATATGGGGAATTTCGTCTTGCAAGATGAAAGTCATGCAATTCTGGAATTCTGGAACGGAATTGGTGAATCCCATAGGCATAGAAGTAATCCTCAGAAGTCCTAGTGGCGATAGAAAAGAGGTAAGGTCACGACTGTCAGGGTGCACTTTTCGAGCATCAAATCCCCAAAAAAGATCAAATACAGTATAGCATTGAGAACCAGCAAATGGCTCCACAAAGTCGTCAAGGATAGGTGGTACTCCTGAGTCTTTGATAGTGACTGCATTTAGTGGCTGAAGATCATGGACGATGCGAATCTTGCCATTCTTCTTCTGAACGCAAAACCACTTAGAGCGATAAGACGACTGGCTAGGCTCATAGACTCCAGCTTTGATTTTGTCTCTGAGCAATTCTATGACTTCATTCTTGATTCCAGGAGGAATAGGAATGTTCTTGTATTCCCAAGGGACATGTGGGAGAACAGGTATGACGTAGGGAGAGAAGTAGTCTTCTCTGAACGTTCCTCTGTCAGTTTCCTCGAAGGCAAGACTGTGCTGATTGAGTATCATGATGTGAGCGAAAAGCTTTTCCTCTTCTGGCCATAAGAATCCATCAGAGTTTAGCTTCATTTCGTCATAAAGGCGCTCCTTGGTGAGCTTCGGCGTGGGAATGAATTCTGGGGGAAGGACAGGAAGGGGTGGGAGCGAAAGGAGTGGGTCTTCTGGAAATGACCGAGTGACACGTACGTCTTCTGGGAATACTCCAGGAACAGGTTTGACTTTGCAATCAACACGTTTGTAAGCTCCAAAACTCGACCAATCGGGTGCTGGTACAGGTATAGGGTCCACAATGTCTATCATGTAACTAGGGTTAAAACAAAAAGTGTTCAAAGAAGGAAAGTGCCGTGGTAGTTTTGCGTCATCTCAGACTGAATAGGATAGGGATGAGGTCGGAAGTTTTACAAGGGGGGAAGGAAAAAGATCAGATAAGAACGAAAGGGGAACATAGACAATAGAAAAAAAAGTTGGTACAAGAGTAAAGGAAGGAAAAACCGGATAACATAGAAATCCAAGAGGCCAT